ATTAAAATAAATTAAGTTAAATATATGAATTTTTAAGTATTAATTCAATCACAAATTTGCATCGAATCCTGGATTACTTTAGAAAATAGGTAATTAAACACAACATGAGTAATAAAATAATTTTTATTAAACTAGAAACTAGACGATCACTACTAGAGGAAAAAGGCCTATTAAGGTAAGTATAATTTCTTTGAATATCACAAAGGGGTGGGAGGGTAATAGACGTGCGTCATGCTTTAAACAAAACAAGAAACGATAGGGGCGGGAGAATTTAACTTGAATATACAGGAAAGGAAAAACAAGAAAAATTTATCTAACTACGACCTGAAGCCAAACTAATTTACCTAATCGGTGATGACACAAAATGTTCACGATTGTTAAGTTTATTTATTTGTTTATAGAAATTAGATCACTCAGACTTATTTTCAATCATATTTAAACACGATAATTCAATTAAACTCATTTTATTGTCAGAATAAAACCGGCGAATGCCGCTGATGGCCAACTCATTCTACTGCTAACCCAGCATGTCTCGACCAAAACATTCACAGCGTTCGTTGGTCAGTGGCGCCGCGCGTAAATTTGAAAATATAAATTAAGAGCTAACACGATTGTCCATTAGACCACATTGGTTGGCTATTCTATTTTCTATCCTTTTATGGTTATGATAGTACGTCACTGGAAACCAGAAACCACATACATTGATTTTCTCTTACTATACGGAGAATGGTCACACTGCGCAGCTTTCTGAGTGCCTTAAAAGGAGATAGAAAAATCTGCCATTTTGATGCCTTATTACGTGTTGCCTACATCTTGGCGCAATATTTTTAATAGGTGCGTTTTAATCATCAACTTCTGCTTCGGAATTGTCGGTTTTCTTGTTTTAATCTGACAGGTTAAAACGACTAAACCGACAATTGCGGAAGCAGAAGCGGATGATTTAGGCCCGTATTTATAAACAGAACTTACCTGAGTCGAACTAAAATCGAAATTCGGTTACAACGTCTCTAAAGTTCCAGGTTGTTCCGGTGTTACACTGGAATTTAGAGATGGATATTTGCAAATATGTAACTGTTATGTACATTTACGGATTTGTTACTACCTATCTCTAAATTCACGCGATATAACCGAACTTCGATTTTCGTTCAAGGACGACACCAAAGTCCGACTCAGCTGAGTTTTGTTTATAAATATGGGCCTAAGACGCACCTGATATTTTGCTTGCTGCTGTCAGTGTCGGCGAATATTATTTTTGGAGTCACAGTTTATTGCTAAAGAATCAGTTAGCTCACTCGGACCAGTTGAAAGTTCCAAAATAACATCCACTCGAGGGATACAAATTCAGGATGCGCAGAAGACTGCTGTTTTATTATAGGCGGTTGTCATATATTGTATTATCCGAGTTGCGTAGTGTATAACCTGGAACATTGAAATCAAAAGTGCCGACGCAGAGTGAGCGAACTGATTCTTCAGCTATAAACTGTGGTAAAGGCATCAAAATGGCCGCGCCATATGTTGGGCGTGTCGGACCTCTCTCTTGCACCGTATAGTAATCAAAGTATGTGCCAGAAACCACATACTTTGATTTTCTTGGCCAGAAACCCTCAATGGAGTGGGGTAGAATGCTTGTCAATACGCTTGAGATTCGACTCTATGGGCGAAGACAGGCTATTTTTCATCTTACTCGGGAGTATTTATAACAACCATTTTCTATTTCACTTTGTTATTGTCTGATCCACCAGCTTGTGGATTGAACCAATGAACTGGAGTGAGGTAGAAAGCCAATGTGCATATTGTATCACTAGAACAAGATGCGACTCTATGGGCGCAGCCATTTTTATTTCTCATCTCACTCGGGAGTATTTATAATAACCATTTCCCTTTCACATTGTTATTGTTCAATCCACAAGCTGGTGGATCAGACAATAACAAAGTGAAATAGAAAATGGTTGTTATAAATACTCCCGAGTGAGATGGAAAATAACCTGTCTTCGCCCATAGAGTCGCATCTCAAGCCTATTGACAAGCATTCTACCCCACTCCAGTTCATTGGATTGAACAATAACAATGTGAAACAGAAAATAATTGCCTAGTTTTACTTTTTGAGTAAAAAATATTTAAATATGAGTATGAATGAGATAATTAATTTCATCAATTAGCGTCTAATTATTGGAAACGATGGTAATTTCATTATAGAAAATAATAAAATTTTATGACATAAAAAAGTCTATGTGGACGTCAATGATGTTGCCTATTTACTAATTTTTTGATAATTCCTACAATCTAAGATAACAGAAAAGACATAACCAAAAACTTGATTTGACAATACTTTCCGTTCGTATTTATCGGGCAAAAATAAACGTTCCGAGGAAATTTGTCCGGACGATTGAAAATTTGACGCTCTCCATTTCTGAACGCACCCCTGCAATTGTCGAACTCAGCTAATGACAACTTCAATTGTCATTCATATGTCATTATTATTGTCAGTTGTCAATTTCCTGTTCCAAATAAAAATATTTGTACTTATTTTTATTGAATTTTATAACAAAACAAACAACAATGAATCGTTCTTGGAATAAAAATTCATCGCTAGGGTTTGTATACTTTAATGCAGACTCTCCGAAATCAACTGGAGATACTGAAGACTTCATATCATTTCAAGAATCTCCCAGCTCAAATTATGCAAGCAACTATAATAATGGCCATTCTTCACCTAGCTATGGAAGCCCCAAGTTCCATAGTAGCCCTAGAAAGTTCAATAATAAAAATGCATATCGATATGCAGGAGGAAATAGAGGCAACAGATCTTTCCACAGTACGAATAACAGTTTGAATAATTCTTGGAGCCACCAAAAAAGTCCAAAATTTTACAATCACAGACAGGTTTGCTTTATTTTTTTTATTTCAACTGTGTGTTTATTTTGGGCAATTATCTCATTTTTAGCAAATTAATTAATTGAATAAATTCAAAGTGGCAACTGCCAATATCCAACATATTTACTCAAATAAATAAAATTCCCTTTGTTATGACGAAGTTTTGACAGAAAAATGTCGCTTTTATTGAATTCATTCAAAGATGAACTCGATATTTGAATCTTTGTAAAATTGCAAAGCAGGTCGCTGTTCAACTATTACTTCAGGGTGTGAACATAGTTCCATCCCTGTACTGCTTTGTGTTTCAAACATCCTTGATCCTTTCTTTTTTGTCACTTGCTTCATGGATTTTCAAACAATAAATAATTTTAGAAAAATACTAAAATTTCTTTAAAATAAGTGACAAAATGAGCTAACGACAACAAGTGACTGTGAGAGTGAGATATCACACACAAATACGTTGATATGAAGGTAGTCACATAACCATAGAACGTTTAAAAGTACTAGATAACTACCCTACAGAATATTTATCTTGCAAAAATAGAAACTTAATAATATATCTATTAGTTAGTTCACTGGAACTTTATCTGAGGGTGAAAACACTGACCCTAAAATGGTTGCAGTATAGTTTATATTCAGTTAGCAAGACAGTGTTATTTTTATTTTCTAAGAATTGTTTCTTCATCTCATCTTTATGTTTTATAGAAGTTTTAATTGCAGTTGGTATGCACAGTTTGCAATTGTTCTTTAAATTTTAAAATATTTCAATGAATTTTTCATATGCAGTGATAGGATCATTTTGTAGAAATTATTTCATTGTTGCTGCTATTGTGAAACATTTTGTTTTTTCAGTATTATTTCTTAAAAATATATGATCAATACAAGAACTACTTTCTATAGTGACTCTAATTTACGAATTAATATAAGATTTAAATCCAGAAAATTATAATATTGCTAATTAGTTGTTTTTTATTAAGTTTGTTTGTTATGAAGAATGTTGATGTTTGTGTCTGCGACAAAAAAATATCAATGTTATTTGTCTAATGAAACTGTCTTAAATATGCTACTATTATATTTTTAGAACTCTAATAACAGTCTGATGATGAGCAGGGATGGCACAAGGGACATGTCAATGTTTTATGACCACACAAGTACACAAAATCCTTGGGAACACTTGGAAAAAGAATTAGAAGTGGCAAAATCAAAAGAAGTAAAAGATATTGAAGAAAAACCATCAGTTAATAAGCCAGAAAGTAAAAAAGTGGAGGAAAAGGAAGAAGAAGAAGAGAGCTCATCTAGTGATTCTGAAGAAGGTGAAAGTGGTTCTAGCAGCAGCAGTAGTTGTAGTGGTAGTAATACTAATAATGAAAAGGAAGAGACACCCTAGTTAGATTTTAATTAAATCTAAAATTATAATTAAGTTTAGAGTGGTGAAAAGTTAAATGTGCCACTATTTGGATCTCATACACCATAATAGATTGTTTAAATGAACAAAATTAGCATATTTCCAACACTAAATTAGTATTGGATACACAACTTATTTTTCATTTAAACAACCTCATATTTTTTATGATTTAAGAGATCTCAATAGGGTACATTTCAATTTTCACTGAATACTCACAAAAAAATCAGCAATTATAAAGAATTTGGTAAAATGATTTATCTTGAAGCAATTTTGATAAACTTAAACTTTCATCAAAATCAATTGTATTTCCACTTTCTTTACTTTTCTCAACAATTGCATGCATGTGTTCATACAATTTAATATTATATTAGGAAAATTGTTCTTATAGTATTTTTAAGTGATCTGTTAAAATAACTACCTCACTATTAGAAATTGTATAGACGAGAAAATTAAAATAGGAATAAAGTATTTTCAAAAATAAAAAAATATATAAAGAGCAAAAAAATATATTTCATGATTATAAGAATACAATAATAGTCCATACCAGTTATTGGGATTTACTTTTTCAAATAAAAGTAGTAAAAGAAAAATTGCCATAAAAATCATTTCACATGTTTAATAAGTTCATTAAGTTAACAAGTTCATTAATAACTCTTCTAAAAGTACCTGAAATGTATGCAGATTACTTAGTAATGCTCTTTATTATTTCGTGTAGTTTTCGGTGTTTCTAAAGTAGGCCTTGAGAAAAATTCATGTGTGTTGGACAGTACAATCAGGGCCGTAGCCAGTCCCGTTTTCTTGATTATTTGAAAATTCTACGTGCATTATATTAATGAGTCAGTGATACTAATCATTGTTTTATAATTCTTTAAGCATTTGCACAACGATTGAGACTATTTTCATTATGGCTTCACTGCTTTGTAGAATTTTGTCTATTGGGTTTAAAACCTCAAGTTTAGTTTTAAATAAAACAATAAAAATTCTAAAGGCCAGCTTTTTGATGGTTTTTAATAACTTTTCGACCATTAACTGATATTTTTTATAGCCTCAAAGGCTTTAATAATTTTTTAGTAATTGTTGGAAAAGATGTAATAGAGGCTGTTCTTAGTAAAAAGAGTTAGGGGGCGTCCATTAATTACGTGAGGTGTTCAAGGGGGGAGGGGATCAAGCTAAATCTTTCTAAATCTCACTTGGGGGAGAGGGGGGTCTTTGTAAATCTGACGTATTTTTTTTCTAGTAGAAAACGGTGTAAAATTGCGTGAAAATTAAATTAAAGTAAAGAATGTTTCTAGAAATTTTTAGTCTTAAATAAAAGTAATAAAACATTGTGTTTGTTTTTTTAATAATCCAACGCATTTACACCCAAAACACAAATTTTGAAAAATCTCACGAGAGATTAGGGGAGGGGGGAGGGAGTTGAGGAAAATCTTACGAAATCTCACCAGGGGGGGAGAGGGGGTCAAAAAATCCTCAAAAATACCTCACGTAATTAATGGACGCCCCCTTAAGAGTACCACGTTTTAGAAAATTATGAAGCAATTTACACTGGTTACAGTCTATGGTTCACCCAATGGATATATGGGCCCCAAAATCAATAATTTTAAGTTGAATTTTATATATTTAACGAATAAAGTTGTTATGTTAGTTCGAAGCTTGGAACAAAGTTTTATGTTCTAACGTAATCCTTGATAAATTAATTTGTTTAAAATTTCAAATAAAAGTTATATGGATTTCAGTTTTACAATGGTCTTGTCATACCAGTATTCAACGGTAAAATATTTTTGAAAAATATTACAATGAATTTTTTTGTGAAATAAAAGAATGATGCAAACCCCCAAATTAAAATTATCATGATTTTGGTATATTAGCTATGATTTCAAAAATTGTTTAAAATACAGACTTATAAAAAAGATACAAACCTAACGAATAGTGATGATAAAACTGTTTTATTTTATACAGAGTGTTTTAAAACATGTAATAAATATGATTAATTTTAATTTCAATTTACTCAAGTTTTTGAAATGCAATACCCTATATGTTATTTTAGATGTATTTACCTATCAATGATACTAACATGTTAGTCTATTATACATATACAGGGTGTGCCGTCAATGCGAACATGATCGATAGCTGTTTTATTATTTGAGATACGAAGAATTTTTAATACAAAAATTCTAGTAAGATATTTTACAATTATTCTTAAATCTACAGGGTAGCCCAAAAATGAAGGGGCGAACCAAACTTATACTTTTTTAGACCAAACAATCTGAACAACAGATTTGATTGCTTTCACATAGATAAACAATTTTAATAAACTTAAAATTCCTCCTGCTTTCTATTTTCATGCATTTGCTATGATGTATACATTGTGTGCCTAAACAAGAGATGATATTTTCAATTTTTTTTCAAATGCATTACCAATTTTTAAATAAATTTCTATTTTTTATTTTGTTTAGCATTCAAAATACCTGAAGATGTTGATGGTTTTATTATAATAATAAACATTAAAAATCTTGGTCAGTTACAAAATTACAAATAGGTAGGTCTAATTGTTCTTCATGATTCTTCAAATAAAACAATCCTATTTCCAACTTAAATCCTCTGAAAATATAAATGTTTTTTGTACTTATTATCATCATCGCTGCCCAAGTCTAAATTGCAGCCCATGAGAGCGTTATCTTTGGCCACAACAATCTTCAAAGCAAAGTCTCCGAAACGAGAAAACACACCTCTGCTCGAAGTATAGACGATTTCGTTTTGAACACCGACAGATTTAGAGAAAGGGAACACTTTGACCAGAAGAAAGAACGTTTGTTGAGGCTGCGGCGACAAGAAGAGTTGATCAGGAGAGGCCGACGAGAGTCAAAGAACTCGAAAAAACGCTGGATTCAAAGCACAAGAAATAAAAAATGTAAAGAAATGGTGATTAAGCCATCTATGAAACTGACACAGCCAATTTCTCTAAAATTGTTGAATAAGACAATAGGTCTGACAACAAAGAAAATACACATTGAATGTAAAAGTAAAAACTATTAAAATAAATATTATTAACCATATTAAATATAGATATTATTGCGACGGAAAATTAAGATTGATAATTCATATTTATATTTATATTCATAATTATTAAAATGTGTTGAAAATTCTAGTTTTTATACCATAATCTAAAAAAGTATTCATAATTTTCCTACACATAAATATTAAGCAGTTTTACATATTTTTTAAACTTCCAAAAATCTATATTTTATGTATTGACTTTTTTATTGTAAGTAGGGGAGGTTGGGGCAAAGAGGCCACCTTAATAAAAAAGTGGAAAAATAAGATAATTATGATTCTTAAAAGTTCATATAATACAAATACATTTTTATATCTCTTATCTCTCATATTATATCATACTGTTTAAACTTAAAGAAATCATAAAAAATGTAGAAGCGTTTTTATAGTAAAATGTAAAAAAAAACTGCTTTGCCCCATATGTGGGGTAAAGTGATTCCATTTGTGGGGCAAAGTGGAAATATTTTAAACATATTAAAATCGTGGATTTAAAACACGTATTATGCTAAAGTCAACCTTTATTATTACACAGAATTAAATATGAAGTTATTCTTAAACTTAAAAATTAAAAAACGAACAAATTTTAAATAAGGAAAAATAAACCATTTTTTGAAGAGGAAAATTACAAAACTTGAATTTTCCCATACCTCAAAATCTTAACCGTAAGTCTTCCTAAAATTTCAGAGTCTAGAACTTCACTAAGATCTTCTATATCAGGAAAAACATAGATGTCCATTGTTTGTCTATATTGCCTCAGAAAGGATACACAAATGGTATATTGTGCAGTATCAACATTTTTATCTATAGCAGTTATTTTAGCTACAAATTTTTTTTTCGTTTGTTTTTCTGATGTTAGCTCTACAAATATGAAATCACCTGCATTGAGTTGTTTACAATCAATTTTGTCAATCGAATATCCCGATGGTTCTGGATAAAATTGAAATTCACTTCCTGAGTCATCGGTGTCATTTAGCTCAACTGTGGTCGAACTATCTGATGAAGATTCGTCCAATTTTCTTTTTTCAGTTTTTGCCATCAGATTCTTTTTAACTGCTTTCTTTTTCGTTTTCGGAGTTTTTTGTTTTTCTGAAATTGCAATTTTAAGCTCTTCATAGTTTGGAGTTGACGTTAAGACCATTGTTTTGCCCTTCTTAACTTTTCTCTTCACTTGTTTTTTCTCCTTCGAAATAGGTAGAGGAAATATATCACTTGGCGAATAATAGAGCTTCTCAAAATTTTCTTTTTCGATTATTTCTCGCGATTCTTTAAAAGCTTTTGGGGGTGGTGTCCTGGTTGTGGGGATTTACTATTTTCAACTGTTCGCGCATTATCAACTACTTCATGTAGGGGAGTGGTTGGCCATTCTTGATCAATAGGTTTATCTGTTGCTTCTGCTGGTTTAAACAAATCTTCCGAAAATATATCTGGATTGTACGGAACAATTCCAGTTGCTTTAAACCCATTGACAGCAATTTGAGTAGTTGCCGCTCGTTGAAATACGGTTCCAAAAAGTTCTCCAACTTGATAGATAGTAACAACCTTTCCGGGGTTATTAAGCAACCATTTTCTAGTTTCTTGTTCATAATATGAGTTTAGAGGGTACATAAAAGAAACATCAAGTGGTTGTAACCGGTGTGAAGTATGCGGTGGTATTACAATTATATGCACATGGTTAGCTCTAGCACTCTCAACTAGTTGCAAGTTTTTCGTATGTGTAGAGTGCCCGTCTAATATTAACAACACTGGATCATCCTCTGATGGTTTAGTGTATTTTAAAAAGTGCTGGAACCAAATATCTGAAAATATCTCACTCTGCATCCACCCAGATTGATGATATGCCACTACAGACTCTGGAGGTAACCCCTGCTCCAGTGGAGGATATTTTCGAACTCTAGGAAATATAACTAAAGGAGGAATGTAAAATCCAACTGCATTATAGCAAATCTCCGCTGTAGTTAAGGTCCCACGTTCAGCTGACGAAAGACTGCCAACTTGCTTTTTTCCTTTTAAAGACAATATTTTTGAGGGTTTGTTTGGCACCGTAGAAATACCCGTTTCGTCACAATTGAAGATTCTACTAGGAGAAAATTCATATTTTTCGAGCATTTGTTTCAATAAATTATAAAATGAAGACACATTATGTTTATTAAAGGCGGACGCTCTTGCTTGTGATGTGTATTCTGGAAGCCTCAATGAAATATTTGTTTGTCTTGTTAAACATCCGTAGACCCAATCACGTCCAGCTAAACCCTTGTTGGTATTAAAATTATGTGGAATACGATTTTTATCGGCATATTCAAAAGCAAGTCGCCGTAATTCCGTAATAGTTAGGCTAAAAAGTCTACTTTCCATATCAATTATAAAATTGGCCAATTCTTGTTCTTGTTGGCTAGAAAAAGTAGTTACAAACCTTTCTAACTTCTTTTTAGAAGCATTTTGAGGATCTTTTTCAGACTTAACACGTCTTCTTAAAGTCGTGAGAGGAAGTTGATACTGTATAGCTGCCTTTTTCGCACTAATTAAACCATGTCTAACATCATGTATGGCTGCTGCCATATTGTCTTCTGACCAAGAATGTTGTTTGGTCTTACGCTTATAATTTCGTACCATTATTTTTCTGAAAAAGAAAAAGTATATTTTTAGATTCATTTATTTTTTCCAATTTAATTTCATGTATATTGTCAGCTCTAACATATGTGGGGCAAAGTGGCCCACTGTCCACTTTGCCCCACAACAAAAAACCACTTTGCCCCTAGATGCATCAACAAGTATGAAAATTAAAAAAAAATAGACATATATTTTATAATATCTACCTTGACTATAATTCGTAAAACACATAATACTATATGATAAAAATATAACACCAAACAAATTGTTAATAGTTAAAAGCAGATCGGCTATTTACTTACCTATAAATGTTGTAAAATAGACGGCAAAAACTTTTCAGACACACTAACGACTTACATGTGCACTGCTCTGAGATTCAATACAGACTGATTAGTTCAGCTAACGACAGGGAACTAATATGTGTACTTGTGCTTACAGTGCTCATGCGCTTGTTAGGATAATGGAAAATACCACTTTGCCCCGAGTGGCCGCTTTGCCCCAACCTCCCCTATATATGCTTTTTGATATGTGAAAAATAAAAACATCTTGATAATTACAGACAGGGACGTACTTATAACTTCTTAAGGGTCTGGGGTCAACCCTAGAAACATTTGAGTTCGAATTCACAGTTTTAGCGCTCCCAAAACACTTATTTTTGGTATTGTAATTTGCGTTAGCGGGATTTACGGCCTTTTTAAAGGTAGGCATTCAGCTAATATTCGCATTGTTGCTTAGCCCAAGGGAGGTGTCCGGATGCCTTATGTATGTCGGTGGTTACAGGGAAAAGTCGAGGATTGAATTAATTACGTATCAAACGGCCAACTTTAGGACAAGCAAAAGCAAATGACTAAAATTTTTGTTAACCCATTTTTCGGAAATAATTCACAATATAAACCATTGGTATAAGGAATTACCAAAAATAAAAGTTAAAGAAGATAATGAATTGGTGGGTATTCCATTTAAAAAATTGAGAAAATCATATCCTCGCGTTTTGACAAACCCTATATACAACATAGCAAATTAATGAAGTCTATTAATTTTTTTTTGATAATTTGAAAACAAATATGTGTAACTACCTACAAGGTGTTTTGCTGTAAAAAAATATAAGTTTGGTCAGCTGCTTATTTATGGATCACCCTGTATATTTAAGAATTATTGTTAATTATTATTAACTTTTATATTTAAATTTTTTTCGTATTTCCAATAATAAAACAACTATCGATTAATTACGCACTGATGGGGGACCCTATATATGTATAATTGGTTAACATGTTGGTATCGTTGGATAGTCATATTTATAAGGAATTTTATGCTAAAATTATATGCATTTGAAATAATTGAGTAGATTGAACTTAAAATTAGCCATATTTAAAATATGTTTCAAAATACTCTGTACAAAATGAACCAATTCTGTCACCACTGTTCGTTAGCTTGGTATCTTAAACTGTTTTTTAAACAATTTTGAAATCATTTTTAACCCACCTGAATTATAATAAGTTCATTTGGGGTCTACATCATTCTCTAATTTCACAAAAAAGTTAATTGCTTGGCAACCGTGTACTATTTTTTAAAAACATTCTAGAGTTGAATACAATGTTACCTGACGATACTAAAACTGAAATAAAATACAGGGTGTTCTATTTAAAAAAATGTATATTTTTATTTGTCAGGTAAAACGTATCACCCTGTATATCGAAAAATTGTTAAAATATGTCTTTCAGATTCATATAACTTTTATTTAAAACTTATTTGAGTGGCATTTTCGTTTATAAATATTGACAATGTTTTTTCGGGGGGCTCAGCTTCCCTGGTTAAGGGTCTGCGTACAATTATTGTGTTTTAGTTTCAATTTAGATTTATTTAAGAGCCGTGTGTAGTTCTGGACGTATCTGTCTTTGTTGGTCATGGCTTACTTTAGAAATATTTTTCTTTATACAAAATGCCTAAACAAAGGCGTGATTGCAATTGAATGCGATATTGTAAATGTGTAATAGTATATTTTAAATTACACACGAATTAGGTCTAAGCATTTGTTAGATATTTACTGTTACACGTTTTTTTATTTGTTTATAATAAAATTAAATAAAGTAAGTTGTTTCAATTATTCTTTTATAGGTATAAAAGTTGAATGCTATTCAAAGCATTTAAATTGGTTTAAGTTTACTAATAAATGTAAGCAACTAAAATCGTAGATAACAAATTTTTGACTTCTTATTTCCACTGAAACTTATATTTTACGATAGATAATCTCATTTAAAACATTTAGCTCCATCTACTGTAATATAGAATATATATACAAAAATGTCCCAGAAATTTAAATTTACAATAAAAAAAGACAAAAACTAGAATAATAAAAAAACAAGAAACTTAAAACACATTTTTAAAAAACAAACAGGTGTGATATAAAAGAAAAATATGAACACAACCATACATAATAATATAAACATTTATAAAAAACAAAAACTTAAAAAACTCAGCCTCCCAGACAACACACCAAATCCTAGAGATATCCGCAGAATATCTTTTGTGGATATTCATTATATCCACAGGATATCAGAAATATTCCGTGGATCTAATATGGATATCCAAATGTCCGTCTATATAGAAGATATCCTAATGGATATTCAGCAAAATATCTAATGGGTATCTTCCAGAAAATACAAGAAATCACAGAGATATCCACAGAATATATTTTGTGGATATTCAATATATCCAATATGGATATCCAACCAAATGTCCGTCTATATCCCAGGATATAGAAGATATCCGGATATTCAGCAAAATATTTTATGGGTATCCTTAGTAGAGGTTCATAATCATAAGTAACCAATGATTATTGAATAACGTCGAAAGAAAATAGCAGAGATAAAAAATATTTTCAACACTCAAAATATTTTCAACACTCTGCCTTTGATTTTGCCCACTAAGGAGAAAATCATCCTTATTATGACTCTTCAGCAATAAATGAAATTTCTCGACTCCAGTCTCTAATGGAGTGATTAAGACACACACATTTCGATCGAACTCAATTACGGCGGGTCGAGCATTAGTAGATGCGATAGTGGTATCGCCATATATACTTAGTAAGCAGAATCAAATAACATCTAGTGGATATCCACGATGGTTTGCGTTCGCGCCTAGACTTTGATATATTTAGTGGATGTTCATGGGATATTGAATACACCTTAAAAAAATTAATTTTAAATATCTGAACGGAACTATTAGCCACAATGGCGTAATTTTTTAATAATTTGCTATATAATTACTATTATTTATGGACATTTGCATGTCTATAAATTACATTTCATGGATATAAAATAGATATCTACCATGGACTGGACATTCAGTGGATATTGGGATGTTCAGTAGATATCCAAAGGATTTGGTGTGCTGCCTGGGCTATTTTCATTCATTATTCGCTCCGTGCGTGACAGCAGCGCCAACTATTTTTTGAACTAACGGACGATATTTGCGTATACTGACAATACAATTTTTAATAGAGTTCGTAATTAAAAAATATATATGTTAATTTTAATAAAAGTATATGGATTTGTAAAACAAGTGCAAAAGTTATTATTATTATATATTTTTATTACTTCAGCTAAACAAAGTAGTATAATCAATACAAATCAATAATAAAACATTGGTACGTATTTACGAGAAAATGTATGAGATCTTCCTAAGCCTAATAAGTTGTCATTGAAGAATTGGTTAAATAATGTCAAAATAAAAACATTTCCACTATATAATAACGTAGAATTAAAACGTATTAACAAAAATAATTGGTATATTTGTGATTGTAATTTATATTTTCTTCATTTTTAGTTCGAAAGAACCCATAGAAATTAATAATTAAAACTGGTTTCCTATCAATAAGTCACAAGATTGCATTTCAGCCATACCTATACAATAATCAAAGGCAGAAAACTAATCATTTGCTTAAGATTTAAGGAATTTTGAAAAATATCATAAAATAATATTTTATTGTTTATTTAAAACCTTTTCTGATGTCTATTATTTCCAGTATTACTGTTATTATTACAAAACTAAAGATTTTTTTTCTTCTTATTATAGAGCGGTCCATTTATTTCTTTGATTTAATTTAGATTTTGCTACTGAACATTTATATAATTTACAGTTTTTTTGCTAGTATAATTTGCAACATAGCAACTCCCGTTGCTCATTTTATTGTTATTAACCTATTTTTTTAGTAAAATGTATACGTGTATTTGATACGCCAAAATTACAAAATATCGCCCTAAAGTACTCCAATTATCCGCAGCTTGCGCTAGTATCGCTTTTGCTTCCCCTACCATGTCTTCGCACTGATCGAATAGACCGCAGCCATGTTTTAACATGCCTTAGCGTGCTAAACGTTCTTTCGATTAACTCTGTCGTTGGTGTAAGAGCCTTAAATAATGTTTAAACTACTTTGTATTTGGATAAAATTCACAATGTTTGGACGCTATATCATTAATGTGTGCAGAAAGCTCTTTCGTACTCCAGTTTGGTATTCAGCTTCAAAATTGTCGATTCCAAATTTTTCCACTACTTTCATTTTTTAATCGGTAGTGAAAAAAGTATTTTTTTATGTTTTTGGGATGTAACAGGCTTCAGGAAAAACTAACAGAGTCTTCGGAAAAGCGTGATGTAAGCGACGTAAGGGAATCCAGATATGCAATAAATATATTCAACCTAAAATATTCTTCAACTATACCTATTAGCCTGAATATTATTATTTCTATGAGATTGTTGTTCGTAATGCATATCTTAAAACGTTGTTGATTAAGTCGTAAAAGCCAGGGGGGCAACTGCCCCCCCCCCAATCGACGCCCATGGGTCTCATGAATTTTACCTACCACCCCAAAATTTTTCCCACATACAAATGTGTACAAACAAGAATACATCTGCATTACTGGTTGCCTACGTTGTGCCTTTTAGTGGCGCCTCGAAACTACTATGTATTATACTGCCATCTATTATGAAATGATGATAATACCGTTACAGAATTTATAGGCAGTTAATTGAAGTTCTGTTTCAGCCTGCTAGGTGTCGCTAGCAGTTTCATAACAAACGAGAATTCCAACGCATGCGTATTTAAATATCAACAAAAATACTAGACATCAAACTAAAAGTTTTCAATTTCAGCAGTTTTGCGAGACTGTCGTATGTAGGAAGATGTTTCTGTTTTTCCAATCCAGATAAAAACCTGTTGCTCCCATGTGAAAACCGCACTATTTTGAAATGTAAACACGACTTTAATAATCGGTTTCGTGTCTCCAAATGTTTTTTATTTAGTTTAAGTGTTCATTTGTGTGTTGTTAAAAGTTTTAAGTTTCTATTTGTAACCATGGGATTATCAGTGTCAAAAGAAGAGACTTCGGTACCAGAGGCTGATACCGTAATTTCTTCAAAATTGCATGGGAGACAGGCCAGCATTAGGCAAAGTACAATAAAAGCTAAAGCTAAACAACCGATGCCCGATCCTACGGAGCTAGAACGAAGATTCACAAAAGTTTTGGTAGGTTTTTAAAAGTTGTTTACTGTTTTTAATAAGAACTTTTTTACCTGCCACACTGACTGACCCTTTTGTTGATTGATGAAATGAAATCATTCCGAATATAGAATTCTTGGAATAAAATAATAGAATGTGGCTATTCTTTGAATTGATTTAAAAACGTAGGAAATACTGACCAGACTAGTGATGTCACGGTTAACAACAAATTAAAAGCAATAGTTTATGAGTCATACGAATATCGGAATATCAAAAGCGTAGTTCTGTTTTAAATTAATATGATTGAAAAAATACCATACCGGTTTTATGTTTTTATAATAAATTTTATGCAGTTATTTACATTCATTATTTTAAGATGTTAAAAGCTGTTTTGTTTACAATGTGTATACAGTTGGTACCGGTTATTCAATAACTCATAATATTAATGGTACCTAGGTATAAAGGTATAATAAAAATAGAGATGGCATTTACAGGTGAATTTATAGATTTGTACGGTCAATGCTCCTTTAAACATTAGAGGGAGTTTTTTATAATTATTTTAATCTGCATTGATCAATCTTCAAAACCATCTCAAATGAAACAGGAACTTACCAAAGATTCTTCTTTAAAAATAATTATGAACTACATAATGGACTGGGTTAGGTATTCTCAGTGGTGTAACTTTAAATTTTGGGGCCCCCGGCACACGCCTACCCTTTACCCCTTACCAATTAATAATTTGAAATTCTGTATCAGTCCTCATTATATTATAAAAATACTAATATTTACGGTTAGGTATAATTCAAACAATATATTTTTCTGTAGTTTTTATTACAAGTACCCGTAACATATTTGACACATTCTTTAAAAATTTCAACTGTCTACCCCAGTGGCGTACCCAGATATGGATTTTAGGGGATAACAAAATTAAACATGGAACAAATTTTTATATTTTATAGTCCAGGAGCTGATACCATACTACATAACTGATCGATGAATTATAACATTTTTTATTTAGTTAAGTACTTCTAACACCTGTATGATGTATTTGAGGGTCCGGACGATTTTAGGGACAGTGGAATCTTAAAGAAATTAATTTTTTTTTATCAGAAAGAGCGTATTTTAAAAAAATATTTAATTTCTATAAAAAATCAGTATTTTGACGACTGTAAACATCGAAAGTCGATGGTTTCTGTCAAATTTGGAAAATATAATTGCAACGTTGCCGGATTGTGATAAAATTAGTAGTTAATGGAAAATTGTGATTGCGCCACCAAAAAACATCAACCCCTCGATCAACCCATACCTGGCTACGCCGACCGGCATAGACTCCAACGGCCTGGACACAGCTCAAATTGAATTGAAAACGTAAACTTTTTCACACAATTTCTTGCGATTGCGCATACCGGTCCATAAATATGCAACAAGAAAACGAAGCAACGACTTCTCGTAGGGTGGCGGCGAAGCCGCCACCAAAAAACATCAACCCATACCTGGCTACGCCGACCGGCATAGACTCCAACGGCCTGGACACAGCTCAAATTGAATAATTTAAATGAAAAGTCTCAAACACATTTATATTCTGGTTTTATCATCTGGCCTGGAGCTATTGAAAAAACAGCCACTGTCATTCCTGTTGTGTACGTTCTTTTACTATGTTTGACAACATCACATTTATAGAAATACAAATGTCATTTGTCATATTATTCATAAACAAAAATTATTTGATTTCATTATTAACAATATAAAGCAATTGGCAACGTCGCAAAAATCACGCACAGGCGCTCTTAGTGTAACTGTCAAATCGAAAATTAAAAACAATATGGCTACGTGAGAATGTCGTGAATAAATGCATATTCTTAATTTTTTAGCTTACAAATGTGTTTTAATAATATTTGTTGCTTTAATTAGGTTAGTGCACACTTATAGAATATTAAAAAGTGTAAAAATATTATGGTTTTACTTAATCTTTATGGAAAAAGTGACAAAATTACTGTCCCTAATATCGTCCTTAGCCTGTATTTGATTTAGTAATTATTATAAAGCAATTTAGAGGTCCCTTACTCCTATTTTTTCTTGATTACTTATTACTTTGATGATGTGGTTGAGTTTGCAGACGTGCTGGGACTTCCTAGGGGGATATTTATCCCCCCGTGGGTACTCCACTGGTCTACCTTTTACAAATCATGAGATATAACCCGCTGACAGATGGAGGGACAGGGTCTTAGTAATAGGGCCCCTTTGGTTACCCTTTGGGTACAGAAACCTAAAAACAGTCACAAGTAAAAATAATAAAATATGAAAATGTTAGTGGAAATCTTTACACCTGACTTGCTAATTCGTTTAACAATAATTCCTCTGTATTCATTTCAAAGAGTACTTTTTATTCTTTTATTAGAGAATGAAAATGGGAAATAAAAATTAAAAGTAAATTTTGAAATATTTAAAAAAGTATTTGGAGGTCTGGCTATGTAATGATTTACTATTTTCTTGAATTATAATAATGTATGGAGTCATTCATACTAAAAAATTATGCCTGGATTTTCGTGCTAAATATTGGTTTTTGTCATTTTGATAAAGTAAGGTTTAACCGCGGAGTCGCGCATTTTTAAAGACCTACAAAACGTATTTGGAGGTCCTGCTATGTAATGATTTATTATTTTTTTGTATTATAATAATGTATTGAATCATTCATACTAAAAATTATGTCTGGATTTTCGTGCTAAATATTGGTTTTTGTCATTTTGATAAAGTAAGGTTTATCCGCGGAATACCGATAATTCATCCTCAAGTAAACCGAATCGCTCAAAACGAACGGAGATTTCGCTAACACGTGACTACTATTGAATTTCGAAAATGGCATCAAAAAACTTAGTGATTACTGAACAAAAATTTTTACCAGCAATTGATGAGCACCTACGAAGCAATACATAATTCGCTATTCTCTCAATTCAAATTATCTATTTCTACTAAGTCTATTGTGGTCAGTAAGCAACAAGATGGCTTTGTGAGGACTCAAAATTTCATTAAAAATCATGTTTTTTATTTCTTTCTGTCTTATTTCGTCAGCACTAAACGGGCACATAATTCTCAGTCGGTTGTACCATTAATAGACGTAGAATTTCTGCTTCTAGAAGCGGTTTCCTGGTCAGTGAGCATCAAGTTAGCGTTGTGGAGACTTGAAATTTTAATAAAAAATTTTTTCCCCGCTATTTTTTCTTCTATTCAGTCAGCACTAAACGAGCATTTAATTCTCAGTCAGTTGCCCTATTCATAGATGAAGAATTTCTGCTCCTAGAAGCGGTTTCCTGGTCAATGAGCATCAAGTTAGCGTTGTGGAGACTTGAAATTTTGATAGAAATTTTTTTTCTGTTTTTTTCTTGTCTTATTTTGTCAGCACTAAATGAGCACTTAATTATCCGTTGGCTCAGAAAGTACTGTAGTGTTATGAATATAATGTTTACTTGATATCAAGCTATCAGTGTTGTGCAAAGAAAAAAAAATTAATTCTTGTTTCGAATTAAGTTAACGTAATTTTTGATTTTTTCTCACGGATGCTGGTAGCACTTTTTGAGCACTAATTATTCGTTACAAAGCTTTATTTTTATTTCAACGATTTCTATGCTGTTTGATTTGTACAATGCTAGCGTTCGTTGAAGCTAGCATTGTTCTTATTTTTTTATTAGTTAAAATAGCATTAAATTCGCGAATGCAGCACTAAATTTGCACTAAAATAGCACTAAATTTTGAACAAATTTTTTTTGAATTCCGCCTATTTGACACTGTCAACTTTTTAGACATCATGAAATCCACTGTTTTCGCCAACTTATTAAACTTTGTTCTTAATTTATTAAGTTTGCTTCATTCTTTAGCAAATGGTTAAAGACTATTTTCTCTAGTAAATTTTCTGAAGTAAAAGAAGCGTAATAAACATCCACTACTGTAGGTTTACTTCATAAAAAAACCTCAAGATAATCATTATGTTTTTATTTAATATACAACAAAGAATTAATAGGGCATCATCTCGGGCATCATAAAAACAACATGCATGCCAAATCCAACGTATTTGTATTATCTGATTCAGACTGATCTAAAAGAAATACCTATTATTTTTCATTGTTTTTCTTTTCTGTTTCCGTACGTTAAGTATATAATAAACATATAATTTGTTTTTATTCTTTATTTACTTTCTAATTTAGGAAGAAAAATTGTTATTTTTCGTTTTTTATATAATTGTTTTTTTTATTTACTACACTGCAAATTGTAATTATTTCCCCCTGTATTAAAATCTACTGTTCAGATCTACGGTTTTGTTTTTCACCCATACTGTTCCAGCAAATTTTCATCTGGCAACACTGCCCAGTATAGAACTTGGCACCCACCATTTCTATAAAATATCGACTAATCACCTCGAAATACAAGCGATGACTAAGCGAGACAGGCAGAAAACGCTATCCCGAGACCGATTTAGTTGTCGTCGACTTCTGTCTCTCGGACTGGTCGCGCCTTGCGAAGTGTGTTTTATATAATTGCATGTGTTCAGACGTGAAGAGATCGTTCTTGGTATCCTTTGCCGTCGTGTCTGCTGTCGTATGTAGTATGTCGCGCGTTCCGAAATGGTACCTTAAAACATTCCGATTTTTTTTTAATAATAGAGCACCTCTTCTTTAAATTCGCCATTTGTTTCAGAATGTTTCAAAAGCCTAAAAATGGGGTGTGGTTGTTAAAAAAACATTTAAAAAACATGTTGCCTTCTGGGTTCTATCGAAGCCAGCAAAGAACCTCGTATTTTTAAAAAAATATCAAAGTTTTATACCTAATACTTCAAGAGCCTAAAAATGTGACAGATATTTATTTGTTTTTAGAAAAAAATCCTTAAAAATCCAAACACCTTTATAATTCCTTCTGAGCCTTTACGTTTCATCCGATTTTTGTGAAATTTTCAGGAAATACCAATAACAAAACCTAGGATGGAGAAACCATGATTTTGTTATACCTACCTTCGTAAATTATTTACTCATTTTGAT